TTGAACATTAAAACATCTAAACCTATTGTAGTAGAGCCACAAAATACAATTATGAACCTGAAAAGGGGCATAATATGTTCCGAAAATATTTGCACTGGTAAAATACAGAAGACAGGAAATTAACCTCCTAATGAACAAAAACCTTCTACTTCTTTACTTACACCTCCACCAGGATATTGAATTGCAGATGAAAGTCAGATGGAACAGCAAAAACTAGTATTAGCACTGACCTGTAAACATACTACCAGCAGCCACACATTTCAGACATTGTAGATTAGCAAGAACTTGGAGATTCTTCTGTGTTCAGAGGCTCATCCTTGTGGCTAGCATGAAAAGTGTAGCTATAGAGGCTGTGTTGTACATTTCCAACAGCACACACAGTGTCCAGACCCCTCAGCCTGCCCTCTGTCACTTTGAGCTCATGGGATTGTGTGTATGTGGCTGTGTGATTATGGCAGGAGCTTTGATCAGATAGTAAAGAGCTGACAGGAATAAAGGAGCAGTGCCCTCCACTGAGGAGCAGACCTCCAATCAGATCACAGCAGGAATAACTACATACTGGAGTTTGTCTGCTGGCTGTTAAGAGATGCAACACACACACACACACAGACCACCTGAGCTATAACAGTTTACATGATCTCACTACTATAATGTTCTGCCTGTACACGTTCATGTGTAATGCAGTAGAGAATGCATCACAGTGTGTATTTCTCTCAATATAAAGTACATGTTCTGTGATACACAGACTAACATGATCCACTTCATCAACCAGATACTGATTCATGGTGCTAGCAGATATTTCTCCTGCTCTTTGTTTTCTTCTGTCTTTCAGACCGTGTGCTGTGTGGTTTGGAATTTTTACTAATGATTTATCAGATGACCTGCGATGCATTGCTGTGATACTGTAAACAAATTAATCAATGACAACAGTTAATAAGCCACACAAGACAAGACTATTGGATTTACATAAATGATTCTGGTGAACTCTCAATCAGGAGCTAAATGGCACACATTCCACGGCTAATTCCATATTATGACCAAATAATGAGCAATTGGATGCAAATGTGACATTCAAAATTAACTAACGTCTAAACAACTCTTATCAGTACCAAGACAATTGTCTAGTTCCATCCAAATTTTAACTGTATTGCAAGCAATTAAGCAAAAGAAAATGTGGATGAAGGCCTGTTTCCATCCGTTATGAGATTATTAGAAGTTGGTTCTTCAGGGTAAACAGTAGGTGGTGCCAATTCTCCAGTCGGAAAACCAGAGGAAGAGGGTGCTACAAAATTACACAATTCCGTAAAAACAGCGCCAGTAGGTGGTGTCCATTCTCCAGTTGGAAAAACCAGAGGAAGAGCTATAAAATGACACAATTCCATAAAAACAGCGCCAGTGGGAGCTCAAAGGGTAAGCCTATTCTTAAATGTGGAGAGGGTGTCTGCCTCCCGGAACCACAACTGGAAGCTGGTTC